CTGGCACGGCTTGGCGCCGGGCTCTGGAGGGTTGTGCAGAGCTTCCTGAAGCCTGGAGAGCGAGAGCCTCTCGCTCTCCAGGCTTCAGCGAAAGCCTGTATTCGCCCCATAGGACGCACCCACATTTCCCCTTCATTTTTGGAGGGGAAAAAGTGCGTCCTATAGGGCGAAAAATATGGTATATTTGAACAAAAACTGCATCGCAAAATTCAGAGGAGTTAATCTGATAGGCCATTGCTTTATCTAATCTCTCTCTCTCTCTCTCTCTCTCTCTCTCTCTCTCTCTCATCTCATCTATATGTACAGTATAATCCCAGAATGGCAGGTTTGGTAGGCTTGCTTTAAAATGCAGGCAGAACAAGATTCTCATCCATCTGTACGTTTGATGTGATGAGCAGAAGCTTCGAAAGTTTGGGGGGTAGGGAAAATGAGGAGGCTGCAACTGGCGTGCCATTTACGTCAGAGTAACTCAATTTTCTAGAATAAAAATTGTTTTAAAAATCCATGATCCGATTAGTAATTCTCTACTTTTCTTCAGCCAGAATTGAATAAACATATTTAGATCAGGACAAATTCTGAGCCCTCCCAACGTTCACTTCACCACACAAATTTCCCTGGTAATCCTTATTGTTCTCCACAACCAGGTATGCTCCTACTATGCCACGGATGCTCTCTGTATTATGATTTTCACACTTGCCTCAAAATTCTAGCACTGTAAAAATCACTGCTGCCACTTCATGTTTTGTTGAGGCCACTGGACTAAAAGGAAAAAAAGAAAGAAAGCATGATAGATAAAGGGACATTTATTATTGATTTTCACATGCCACTGCCAGGAAAATCCATTTCATTTCCCCCAAAAGATGAATTCATTTGGTGCAGAAGTTCACTCACCATAGCCCTATTGCCTTATAGTGATGGAATTCTATTAAACAGGCAGAGGTTAGGAAATAGCTGCTGGATACTGTTAATACTGGCAAAGCTCTTCAAAACATCCTATGGGAGTTAGAGCTTCTTACTTATATAGACTTACAATGAATGGGCCTTTGTTCCAGAGGCTGGGCATGTATCTGAGTTCTCAGGATGGAGGCCAGGCAGTATATCTCTCTTGCCCCATTCTGTGAACCCAAATTTAGACAAAACTAACCAAAGGAACGTATTTTGTCTTTGAGTCTCTCTGAGCCATGTGACCTTGAAAGCAAGCCGGAGTGATGGAAACAATACTAACCCATAGAAGTATGAGGCCAAGGGGGAAAGAACCACTGCGTCTAACCACACTAAAGCGCTGCAACCTTTCCCATTCTCACCTTTTTGCAATTAAATTGTTGGGAATGGTGCCACACAGTGTGAGAGGAAGGGAACAGAATAGATCTGGGAGTTTTTAATAGCATTTCAACATGGGAGGTGAAGGTCTGGGTCAAAGTGAATCTCAGACATGTGGAAGCACAAATGCATCATGGTGATGCGATTAGGCTACCAGTTTTTGTGTGTGCACAATATTTGATTTCTCCTCTGTTTTTCCTTCCTTTAGGAAGGGTAGAAAGGAAGACGCTGCTTTCTAATCTGTTTTGGTTGTGGTTTTCTCTTCCCCCCTTCTTTTCCATCTAATGAAGCTGGGTGAAAATGAATAATGTGGATAGGGGTTAGGACCTGGGGGCTAAATGCAGCCCATGTGTTCTCTCTGTATGGCTCTGGGGATACTTCTTAGGTGTCGAGCCTAATGAGCACAGCAACTCATCGCTGGCAGGTCTTGCCCCCATGAAGCAGTTGCTCGGACGGAAAATCCCTCACCTACTATAGCTGCCTAAGTCCCCTCTCCACTGTTTCCCTCAAACAATCTGAGACTGTGCCTGCATGAAGCTAACTTCTCCTCTGCCCTCTTTATGCTGCCCCTGGTTCTGGGAGACCAAGGGGACAGCAGTTTGCCACAGCAGGAGGGACACTGATGCCTCTTCACAAGCGGGACTCATCTCTGCTTCTGGGCCTCCCTCCTTCAGCTTCTACCGCTGATGCTGGACTGCTCTCTGTCACAGACTCCCTCCGCTCACTAAGCCCTGTTACCTCTTCAGCTTCTGACACCTCCTCTCAGTCTGCTCCCTCTTCTCCCTCCAACCACTCATCGTTGGCCCACCACCAGTCCCCAGGCCCTGAGCCTTCTTCCCTTGAAGGTTCCCCAGCTGGTTCCTCCCACCACTCCTCTGCATCCAGAGAACCCATGACATCAGGTCATTCTTCTGCCCCAAGCAGACCCTTCACTGGTTCTACACATCCTTGAGGGCTTTTGCCTGGCTGGAATGTGCTCTTAAACACATGCCTCTTGCTGGCCTGGATGAAGGATAGAAAGATGGGGAGGTGGAGAAAACTCTGGTGTTTGCATGGCTGGAATGTAGCCTACCACCGGGGGCTGGTCCATGAGGGCAAACGGGGCACTGCCCTACCGACTCCACACAGTCCTCAGCCAGCCCCCACCTGCTTGTCTTCTTGTCTTTTAACCAGTCCAGAGGGTGGCCAGGGCTGTCAGCTTTCTCCTGCAGTCTCAGGTTTGTTCCTTGTAAAAATAAGCAGGAAGGAAGATGGAGACAAAATTAGAATTCCCATTGGCTTTAGCTGTTCTAGCACGGCTCATCCTATGTTTGTAAGTTCTCACATTGCCACCCTTGTTCTTTCTGTTGTCCTTCCCACCACTACCCACAGTCCTGAGATGAAGTCAGGAATGTTTGGTTTTCTCTTTGCCCCCTACCCACTTCCTGAAGCCTTTGATGCTCTCTTCCAGGTCAGGATGACACCCCCCCCCCAAGGGCTATATAGCACACCCCTTTGAAACTTGGGAGTCCATACCAATTCAACTGAGACAGTTGACTTGTAAGCATTTATAAATCCAGCCTGTTACGAACTGGCTGAGCATTTGTGCAGTAAGTTAACATGTGTTTCCAAATTCTAAGCTTGCTCAGCTCCTAAGAAGGAAATTGGAAATGTCACTTTGGCGGAATGACTGCTCTTATAGCTGGGCTCGGGGAGGCTCTTTGTTATAACCTCTTTGCTGTTCCGTCTCCTGATGGAAGGCATTTTTTTCCTTAATCTAAGAAGGTTAGCTAATTTAATTTAATGGAATAAAAGGCATATTTATACAGCCTGAGCTTTTCTCTCAGAGCTTAAGAAGAAGAAAGCCACATTTATATTTATTTGCAATGAATATCTGAGTGAAGAATCCTGCATCGTCCAGCAGCACTGCACAAGCAAGATCTCAATTAAATTACTACATGAGTTAAGACTGTAATTTAGCTACAAATTTGACAATAATGCCGTAATGCTGTACATCACTCAGTCATATCTAATTTACAATTGTAGTGATAAATCAATAGTAAGGGCAGCTTCGCTGTCTTCTGCAGAGTTCCCCACCACCCTCTGCATTTAGTTATTTTCTTTTTTTTTACTCTGCCAGCCAACTGTTGAAGCTGAAATAGTATCATTCTGTGAGAAAATGAACGGTGCCCCATCCTATGCAATAAGCCACCCCTGAACAAATGCTGTAAGGATTCAGAGCTCCACTGGGTATTTTATCGGGGCGGGTGCCAAAGCAGATTTGGGGGAGTTCAGGACTACTTTATCTCAGCGATCAAAGATGAGCCCATTGCTACATGCACCAGAGTTCCCCAAGTGGCCTAGGACCCACATACCTACGGGACCGCCTCTCCTGGTATGCCCCATGGAGGACCTTAAGGTCCACAAATAACAACACTTTGGAGGTCCCAAGCTTCAAGGAGGTTAGATTGGTTTCAACTAGGGCCAGGGCCTTTTTAGCACTGGCCCCAAAGTGGTGGAATGCTCTGTCACAAGAGACTAGGGCCCTGCGGGACTTGACATCTTTCCACAGGGCCTGCAAGACAGAACTGTTCCACCTGGCCTTTGGTTTGGACTCGGTCTGACCCTTATGTTTCCCTCCCCGCCCCCTTATGGTCTTGATTTATTGGCTACTTTAAAATGAGGCTGCATTTTAAATTGCATTTTAACCTGTATTTTAAATTGGGGTCCCCCCCTTCTCTTTTCCCCCTATTATGTTTTTACTGTGATTTTATTGGTGTTAGCCACCCTGAGCCCGGCTCTGGCATTTCCAATGCCTAATTCATAGCTCATCCCTTCAGCTTCCCTAATAGCTGCTGAACTTGTTGTGGTAGAACTTCCTTTTCTCCCAACACTGAATCCACACGGAAGAGGACTTCTTCAATACAGTCTGCAACACACTGCATTGCCCTTTGCTTGACAGGGGAAGGGCTGTGGCTCAGTTGCAGAGCACCAGCTTTGCATGCAAAAGGTCCCCGGTTCAATCCCTGGCATAGTCAGATAAATATGAGAAAGACCCCAGACCCTGCAGATCTGCTGCAAGTCAGTGTGGACAGTACTGAACTAGATGGAGTGTCTGTCTGGCTTGGAATAAGGCAGTTCCCTTTGTCTGGTGTTCTTGCGACTGCCTCCTTCAATATCCAAGAGTTTGGGGAGGCCCCTCCTGCTGCATCATGGGGATCTGCTTCCGTAGGCGTTTCTCTTGATCCCTGCAGTTCTGCCAGAGACTCCAATGTTCTAGCTGATCTGTATTGGCCACCCACGACGTAGTCAGCACTTTGCAGCTTTTGATCAATTGTCTCCTTAAAGCCCCGTCGTGTCTCATGGACGCTCAATTTATCAGAATTAGTGTGGGCTCTGAAAGGACGTGTTTGTTGCTCTCTTCGTTATATGGATTGGGAACAGGAAGGAAAGCCAAGCTAACAATAGCTGCTGCCATACAGGGTTGTCCCTCAGTTTCATAAAGCCAATTCATGACGGTTGGCTTTCAGCACAGAAGGCAGACCCTTATGCTGAAGGGTGGATAATAAGCAAAGCAAAATAAATAATAAATAATATAATTGGTAGGACTTGTTGGGGGATGGTGCCCTTTCACAGAATTCTGGAGTTGGAAGGGTCCACTAGAATCATCTAGACCAACTCCTTGTAATTCAAGAATCTTTTGCCCAACATGGGGCTTGAACCCATGACCCTAATATTAAGAGTCTCATTGTGTACCAACTGAGCTACTCCTCTGGCCCTTTACGCCTGGTGTGCCTATTTTGGGTGAATGCTGGACAGCAAGGCCTGGGCACATGTGCTGGGTTCATATTCAAGGCTCACCTAGCAAGGAGGGAGTCATCCCCACTCCCCCATCCTTTGCTAGGGAACCACAATCTGTGGTTGTTAACCCGGGATCTGGAGGGATGCTTCCCTACCAGAGTTAGCAAAAGTCCCCATCTGCTCATACTTTCTGGATTGGCATCTTTTGACTCATTTGGTTTGCAGTTTCTCCAAGTAATATAGAACTGTTTCCCCAGTACTTTGGTCTCATAGGTGGGTGGGGGTGCGGGGGCAAAGTGTGCATATAAAAAAGAGTGTATATACAGGGTGAGTCTTTTAAAAGAGGCCCAGTGGAACATGTGTACTCTGTATACACGGGGCCTCTTTTAAAGGACTCGCCCTGTACAAGAGGCAATTGCATATAGAAAGGTAAAATTTGATATTTGCGCTGAAATACTGGTTTTCACATTAGTCCCTAGAACAGCAAACACAGACGGTTCAGTGCTGACAACTTGGGCACACTATTGGTGCACGTTGTCCTCTCATTTTGTGAGATGCTGCTGCTAATGGGACTTGAAAGGAAAAGGAATGAAATGGGTGAGGAGGAGGAGTATATGGGTGCATTTTGGGAAGGGGTGCCATTAAGAGGCTTCCCCAACCCCACCAAAGAGCTTCTCCCCACAACTCCCATCCCAACAACAAATGGAACTCACCAGAGAGTCCTTCTTCCACCCCATAGCAATCCTTTGGCACCTACAACCAGCGGCCTGCAACCAGGAGTCTCCCATAGCATCATTCTGTATACTCGGCGCCTAATCTTGGCTGAGGAACTCTGAACAATGGGGAAAGCAGGATGTAACAGCAGGGGAATTGTTCTCTCAGAGGCTTTGAAAACAAGATTTTCCCCAAAATTATTTCCCAACGAGAATATATGAGTAATTGTCTACTGTCAGCTATAACAAAGGGAAAACTTATTTGTGTCTTGGGGGTGGGCAGCTCCTCTAAAAAAAGAAAAGGGGGGAAAAGGCCTCCCAGTATGTGACTGAATCTGTTGGTCAAAAGGCTAATGTGTTTGAAGCAAATAAAATAATAATCAGTGCAGTAGATTTGGCTGCTGAGGGGGAAAAAACCATGCGTTTTCAGAGTCGAGAAGCTTTAGGGTTCGTGACAGGATTTTGCCGAGTGGAAAAGCAAGTTTGACAGTAGGGACTGTAGCTGGAGAAGCTTAGTGTGTTTCAAAAGTCAATCATTTCCAGCTTTAAACTAGAAAGAAGACAAGAAAGAAGGCTATTTCTTTATTCTTTCAAAAACTTCTTTCTTTCTTTTTCAAAACATACACGCCCAATATTTTCTCTACTATATTTCTATAGCAAATGTGCATGAGGATGTCAGTATCTGAAAGACCCCCTGGTGGTTTCGGTAAGATTCCAGCAGGCTGCAGAGCTTGCGTGATGCTAGTTAATGGCCGCCCAAACAGGACTTGCTAGGAAATGTCATTTCAACATGATGCCATAAGAATTCCTGTGGATATCAAATGTGTAATATGCATACTATATTTTTTTTGTTAGCAGTACGATTATTTATTACACATATTCATTGTTTTCTACAAAAAAATTTCTCAAAGCAATTTACAGATATACAAAACACAAAACAGGTTGTCAATAATTTAAAACCAATTTCATGGTGGGGGGTGGGATTTGTTGTTTATCCAACAATAAAAACATAAATCCTACTCCACCTGGCTAAAAGATGAACACCATGAACAAACCATGGGTAGATCCACACACGGGGGGGGGGGGGGAGCTATTAAAAAGTCACAAATAACACATTCAAAACACTGTTTCTTGATTAATGTAGCTGAGTCCCATAATTATGCTGCTGTATAATCTAAAAAGTCACATTCACACAATCCATTTAAAATGTTACGATACCATTTTAAAAAGCCATAGTGTCCTGCAAAATGTTCTGGGAACTGTAGGTTGTTAAGGGTGCTGAGAATTAGTCAGAGACACCAATTCCTCCTCCCAGAGCTACAGTTCCCAAAGTTCCCTACGATGAGGGATTGATTGTTAAACCATTCTGGGAACTGTAGCTGTGGAAGGGAAATATGGGACTCCCAACAGTTCGCAGCACCCGTGACATACTGCAACTCCCAGAATTATTTGTGGAGAGTATTGGCTGCTTAAAGTATTATAATGGCTCTTTAAATGTACGGTGTGAATGTGGCCTAACCTGGGCAAACAAGAATGCCTTTCTTTACCTGGCACCTAAAAGCTGATCATGTTGGCACCAGGTTTGTTTCCCTGGAGAGAGCATTTCCTGGTGAAAACTGATTCATCAGAGTCTTGGGTCCACTTGAATTTGTGCCATTGGCTTGTTTTTAAACACAAAATCTACAGTAAAAGCTAAATGATTGTGATGATGTCATCAGCACTGCAAGCCCAATTATACATTTACAAACTATCAAAGGATTAAAAAAAAACTATCAAAGGGAGGAAATATACATCTGCCACACCAGGTCACTTATCAATCATAAGAAACTTTGGAGAATCCATTATTTAAGCTGCACATAATAATAAATGGTGCCCATTGCTTGTTAACACACTGAATCGATACATCGGAATCCTGCGTGTTGACCTGACCTGCCAAATATTGATTACTTAGCAAGGCATACACAAATGACAATATTTTCCAAACCGACTCAGCCATGCAATCTTTGAGAATGGTTGTTACAAATGTGGAGCAATTGGGAAATATTACTGAGACAGAGAAGTTGATTTTGGACTGCAGTTACTGGTATACAATATTCATAGAGTCAGAGGACTTCAGGGCTGGAAGGGAATTTGGTCTCCAGTCAATGCAGGATCTAAAATGTTAGGGGTAGTCACGGTGGTACCCTCCAGACAGTATTGGACTACAGTACCCATAATACTTGACCTTTGGCCATGTTGGCTGGGGCTGATGGGAGTTGGAGTCCAACAACATCTGGACAGCATCACGTTGGCCACCACAGAACAACAGCATCCCAGTAGGAGATGCTGAGTTAAGTAACAGAGTGATGGAAGTATGAAAATTGTCTTGAGGGCATTGACAGGTAGTAAAAATATACAGTGGTACCTCGGGTTAAGAACTTAATTCGTTCTGGAGGTCTGTTCTTAACCTGATACTGTTCTGAACCTGAGGTACCACTTTAGCTAATGGGGCCCCCTGCTGCTGCTGCGCTATTTCTGTTCTCATCCTGAAGCAAAGTTCTTTACCCGAGGTACTATTTCTGGGTTAGTGGAGTCTGTAATTTGAAGCGTCTGTAACCTGAAGCATCTGTAACCTGAGGTACCACTGTACATTGTAATTATTGGGTACCAAATGCACATCATGTTTGTTGCCGGTAAAGCAAACAATGGGGAAAGTAAGTGCATACCTATTACACATGTGCTATTCACAGGCTGTGCCTGAAATGTAAAGACAAATGCATGTCCTTAAAAAGAATAATCTGTGGGCTAGGTGAACAAATAATTAGAATTGGTATAATGTAGCTTCCTATCTTTCACCAAGTGCTAGATGGTGGAGCCGTATGAAAACAAAGTGTCTGAGGTGGGATTTATAGCATGTATATGCATTTGATTATGTGTCTTTAGAGATTCATTGACTGGAAGGGCATGTTAGGAACTGTACTTTATGGTGCTTCCTGCTGTCACTCTTTCCTCTTGACACAGGACCAAAGAGCTGTTCATGTTCAGCTCCCTCCAGAGCATTAATGGAACAACATTAAGTCCAGCGACTGTTCACTTGGATCCATTTCAAGATGTCAGGACTGCGGTGCTCTCTCACTGATCAAGCCTGCAGAGGCTGATTATGAAAGCAAACTTGGATTGAGTGGTGTGATGGGGAACTGGGAAGGAAGAAACACCTAGGGATGCTTCCAATAGCCTTGTTTAAAAAATCCTTCCTGGGTTCTGGAATTTTGAATTAGCCAGACTTGTTCCTCAAGTGGAGTCATGTGCTAGGAATGCTCCAGTTTTCCATGTTTTGCTTTCAGAATTTTCCAGTGCTTTTTTTCTGGAGGTACGCATACCCCTAAACATTTTGTGAATCTTTGTACTTTTGTCAATTTACTGTATTTATTTTTCCCCATTTGAACTATAAAAGGGTGATTTTCTTGAGTCAAAATGAGAGTACCCCTAAACATTTTTTAAAGAAAGAAAGCACTGGAATTTTCTACCGAGAGCTGTCAGATAGCTTCTTTGTTAAGTCCCTAGGATCCTTAGTCCCAGAGACTGCCTGGTGGGAAACTTAATGCAAGAGCTTGGAAATGCCTTTTTCACCACAGGACCCCTTTTTCTATTTTTATTTCCAAGGTGCAAGACTTTCTTATCTACACTTGTGTCTAATTTTCTATAGCATAGTCATTCCCTCACCTGCCCATGCTATTCTGCAATGTTCCCTTATCAGCTTACTACCACTTTCCCTTTTACTCGCCTTTTGCTTTGGCTTTTTTGGGCTTGTTGCTCTTTTATTCTCTGTTCTTATTCTAAGTGGGTGTGGTGTGGTGTGGCATGCCATTTGGTTGTTTCCTCCGGTGACTGGTGTATTGTCCTTAGGGACTGTCTTCCCTGGTCATCAGTGTTTAGCCAATGTTTTACCCCACTCTTTTTGCAGCCTGCCAATTAATTTATTTATTTGCTTCTTTTTCGGTGTTGTTGTGGATTTTCCTGATCTTTCTCTCATAGGCCATTTGGTTTCTACAAAAAAACTTAAAAGTAAAAAAAGAAAAAACCACTGGTGTGTTTTCCATTGCTCTCCTTGAACAGTTTCTTGGAGCTTCTTGGAGAAAGGGACGCATTCAGCGGCTGAGTGGCTCTTCCCCCACAGGATCTGTTGCGAACAGATGACCCACTTCAGGGCCCGCTAGCAGTGAAGGCAGGACAGCAAATGCCTTGGGAAGGAAGCAGAGCTCCCAGAATATCTCAGTCTATGGA